CCTCCTCGTTCTCTCTCTCTCTCTCTCTCTTTCTCTCTTTCTCTTACACACCACTCGAAACAGAGCGCGTTACATATAATAATAATAATAATAATAATAATAAATAATGATAATAGTAATGTTTGACTACTATAAACATGGCGCTATAGATTAATTCAGTTATCAGTTCACTATGAATCATTTTTCATGCTACATTAAGCTGCGTTACGTTATGTTCCAATACTTGTCAGGGACCGAAACCAATACTAAGCTTTTAGGAAATATTCTCCATCTTCAAACAACAGGTGCATATAGTAAACAAAAATAACAACAATAATTCCACGTACGAATCACTTATGATGTAATAAACTATTTGCGTGATACTGCACTACGTTTAGTTTTTTTCCACGTCACCCACAGACAGACTACCCCGGACCGTAATAATAAACGGGAGGAGAATTTGAACACGTTATCACGCATGTTATCACGTTAATTGTGCCGAGATCTGTAGAGATAATTTGTTGCGATGACAGCCACAAAGGAGTTTACACAATACCTTGTCATTATATCCCAAGTAACGCAGCTCGACTCGACATAAGTATCGGAACATAACATAACGTAACATATCATTGTCGGAATTCTCTCTGGAGATTTACTACCATCTTTTACATAGTGAGGCTACAGCTGTAATATCTATAGTCTTCCAAGGTCCTCCACCCGATCTGCTGATCTGTACAGCTGGTGAGCTATTATATCGCTCTTAAGTGTTCGTTACAACGATTCAGTCAGTTGATCTCGCTTGCTGACAGTTTTCCTCCTCCATCTCATCCTTCTCCTCCATTTTCTTTTTCGTTTTAGTCTTCCTCTTCTCCTTCCTCCTCCCCTTCTTCGTCTTCTTACATAGAACGTCAAATGTCCTTGAAAAAAATCAAAATCAGGCGGGTGGGTGAGTGGGCGGTTAGATGGATGGGTCGATGGATTCCCCGTACATTACAACGTACTTTATTTTAAAATTAACTGAAGGAAACAGCGTGGGAGACACGTACACCTCACGCCTGCCTGTTGTTTAGGGAGGGATTTAAATGAGGACTGTACAGTGTACTGATGCGTGCACAGCCACAGACGGCCCATTCGCCTGTCTTTCAGAGAACTTTTATATAAAGCACATTTATCACCGAGCTGTATTTAATAACAGTATTATTTATAGCATCACATGCGCAATGCGTTTATCATTACTCTATATGTTACCTGTAATCGTGGCGCTTGTAGGCGATAACGGAGAATGAAGGAAACCTTGCACGTTCCATGAGACACTCCGAGAGAAAATGGAGTACTGACTGGCGAACAAGACGAACCAAGGATGTCACGTGTTCGAGAAAGAAGCCAGTTTCTGTAGAGCTGATGAGCTGTTATATCGCTCTCAAGTGTTCGTTGCAACGATTCAGTCAGATGATCTCGCTTGTTGACAGTGGCACAGTGATTGGCAGAAGCACAACTTTTGATGCACCTCCCCCTCCCTTTCTTCTTTGTCTTATTTTTCTTCATCTTCTCATTCCTTCGCCCTTTCTTCTTTTCCTGCTTTTTCTTCGCCGTCTTCTTCTTCCTCCTCCCTCTCCTCCCCTTCTTCGTCTTCTTACATAGAACGCCAAATGTCCTTGACAAAGACTTGAGCCATATCCACGTAGCGAAGCTCACCCCTGTTCTCGTGATCTGTAAACAATGATGATGCGGTCAGATAAATCGCACCGTAGTAATGTGAGCGAATTAAAGGAAAGTGTGAATAATATATATATATATATATATATATATAACGAGCGAAGATGACAAGTTACCCGTTTCAAAGTAGATGTTGTTGTTAAGTGGGAAAGGGAAAAGTGAAAAACTCCGTGTATCAGTCAAATAGTATTATTGTTTCTCAACCCACATGCGGCCTCACAGAGGCACGCAGCCGCATGCCCGCACACTTCACCGTTTGAGTCTCCCTTCACAACCAAGCTAACCTTTTTCCCTTCTATACATGTCATTTCTCGACTAACAAAGAAAGTTGCGCACGCCCGGAACAACCACACCCGCTGCCACATGCACAACAACTCCCTCCTCAACCGTTCTCGCATCTCCATCTCGCAATCTACATCAAACACAGCTGCCGTCGACCTAACCAATATGAACTACTGTCGCCCCGACATTTCTAAACACAACTACTACTCTTCTACCAATCTGCAACACCACACTTTACACTAGTAAGCTTATGATGGCTGGGAGTTGCGAGCATTGCTAAGCATTTTGCGTAATTCAAACATCATGCATGCTAATTTCCTTACTACTCTACCCTACAGTGAGTAAATTCCATTTCTTTGATCGAGGACGAAAGAGTTCAAACATGGCATTGACTTTCATGTACATCACGTTCTTTTTCTACACCTTTTCTAATTTTGCCTGCCCCTTGTGGATTCATTAACTTCACATACATATACTACCTATCCTATATATATTATAATATAGGATATATATAGATCATTATATACCGTATTTACTTGTGGGGTGAGTGTTATAGATTATTGTCTTTGATGTTGTTACAGGAGAGGAGTCCAGGACAGGAGAGGAGACCAAAGACAGGACAAGATGCCAGCGACGCACGAGGACAGGAGTGGAGCACCAACTACCATTCATTAAGAAGCGTCATACACTGCCCACTCCTGAGTACTAGCATGTGCAGCCCACTTATGTCTAGGTTTTCGTCAAGCTGACAGAAGTTGTAAGTGTGTAAATCATGTGATCATAGAACTGTGTGTATAAATGCACATGTTATGTTAACATGAAGTTAGTTAGCCTACCTGGTTTACCGTTACTCAAATGCAAAGTCGTGGTTATTTCATTGGAGCTTGCGTTCTTCTTAGACTTCAGCTATTCCAGTAATCGAAATAGTGTAACAGATTTTTAGTGACAATTGCTGAACATATGTTATCATGCAGGGGCCTAGTGGCCAGTGGTAGGATAATGTTTTTAATTTGATTGATCATAACAATAAGCCAGTTTTGCGTGGTAACCCCATTACTTAGTCAGTCACAGGTTTCAGTCATAGCTTTTAGTTGTTATATAAAACATTAATCACAAAATGACAAGCTCAAACCTCATGGCAGGCTCGAATGGTCAATAAACTTTAGGGTATATTTTGCGTAGTACAGTAGGGCAGCAGCGTATAACCATACATAGATAATAGCAAATCTGTACCTTAGGTAGTGATGCACCGGCCGCGGATGTGCCCACCGCCCCGACATTAAGATTCAAGTAGTAGGGCAGCAACCATCGTGTCAATCACCATTGCGCAGCCGCGCGCGTTCCTCCCTAGTAGGAATCAGGTTGCAGAGGGTGGGCTCAGGATCGGGTTTAGTTCGCGGCGTGCTGCCAGGGGGGTGAGACAACACTTGGCTGGTCAGAAGCATCAGGCGAATCCACCTCCCCCTCCAAGAGCGTGGAGATTAGGGTTGGGGTGTCCGGCTCGCCAGCGTTTACCCTCGGCCACATCACAATCATATATTTTTATTTTTTTATTTTGATCTACTCGACTATAAATGCAAAACTGCGCCTTATAGTTTTGATAACCGTTATGTAACCGTGATAGAGAATCAA